ATTCCTCTGTTGGTCCTCAGCTCGATTTTGTATTGCTTTTTAGCACCCTTTCCACCCGCCTCTGGCTGCAGCAGGGGAGAGACCCGTTGTCTGTGGGGCTCACAGAGTGACGGCTCCTTTGGGCTCTGTGACCGCTTCTAGAAATGCCGTGTGTCTGCATTTCCAAAGGCTGTGGGGTGGTGTGTGGGTGAAAGGGGGGACGCTCACCGATCACACGCAGCGGCTGCTTTCCCACTTAACAGGGTAACTCCGGTGTCTCTCTTCAGATTACGATCCCTCGAGGAAGCGATGGGTTTGGCTTCACAATCTGCTGCGACTCCCCAGTCCGAGTGCAGGCGGTGGACTCCGGTAAGAGATCGGATCATTTTAATCCCTCTTACTTTGATTGAATGACTCTGCTCCTTTTTGCTTCCCAGAGCATGTTGTGATTCAGAAGCTTCCATGCCTTGCAGGACTCTGGTTACCTCCAAGAAACGTCGCATAATGAATTCTCTGTTGCCTCTAATGAGGTCGGAGGCCATTAGGCTAGCACTGTGTCACTATTTTGGCAGTGTGTTGCAGTAATTTGCAGAGATTTTGTTCTCTTCCTTCTCCAACCTGAGAACCGTCAGGCTGGTTGGGGGGACCTTTGGAATGCATCCATGGGGGGGGTGTCAGAGGGGCACAGAGGGAAGTGGGATCACAGGAGCCCTCAGTTACCTGAGTAGAGCCCCTTGGCGTGGACCTGTGGGATGGATTTGGTGTCTCTGTTGTACCTTGGTGCTCCCCGCTGCACACCAGGAAACATGGGGAGTTCATGCAAAAGCCCTGAGGGAGCATTTATAGCTTTGTCCCAGGCGCTGTGTGCGCGCGTGCATGTTGGAAGGTGAAGCTCCAGGCTAGCTGGCCCTACTTCATTTTCAGATGTGGGTGTTAGAGGAAACAGATTGGGTTTGGGGGAGTGAGTGGTGCAAGCTGTGAAGTTTTTCGGGTGTCTTCTAGCCTCAGGGCTTCTCTTTCCCCTCACGCTCCCTGCTCTCTGTCCGGCAGGTGACTGGCATTTGTCTCTTCTCTCTGTAGGTGGCCCAGCAGAAAAGGCCGGTCTGCAGCAACTTGACACGGTGCTGCAGCTGAATGAGCAGTCTGTGGAGCACTGGAAATGTGTAGAGCTGGCACACGAAATCCGGTGGGTATTCACCCCAAGAGATGGTTTGAGGGAGCCCAGGGCAGGGCAGCGGGAGCTTTGAGTGGCTAGGGGAAGGGGAAGGCTTTGAGGGATGAAGACAACTGGGAAAGGATTCTCTGGAGCAGAAGAAGAAAGGATTCAGGGGCTGGGGAGAGGAGGACAGGGGCAGAGGCATTAGAGGGAGGAAAGACTGCAGGGCTCCTGGCTGTCTAAACAATGCGGGGTGCCTCACTCCCTGCTGCTCCATCTCTGACTTGCCCCATGCCATCTCTTTCAGGAACTGTCCCACTGAGATCATACTACTGGTCTGGAGGCTTGTGCCGCAGGTCAAGTCAGGACATGAAGGCATGATCCGCAGATCATCCTGCAAGTCTGCCTACGACCTCCAGTCACCACCCAACAAGCGTGAAAAGAACAGCACCATGCCTCCGCGGCCCGAGCAGCGCCGGAGCTGCCACGTACTGTATGATGGGAGCGATGGGCTGGTGCTGAACGGCTGGGAGAGGTACACGGAGATTGGCAAGCGGAGCCAGAACACCATGCCACCCTTGTCCCGGGTCCCCTCCACTGCAGACCAGAACTACATCATCTTGGCGCCTTTGAACCCAGGGAGCCAGGTAGGGCTGCTCTCCTGCCCCACGCTCAAGGTACTGCATGTGGCTGTGGCCGTGCTCGCTGGATCCTCTCTTGGCCCGTGCTTCAGCCTTACTGAGCATCACCTCTCGATGTTTGCCAGAGCATGTGCTGTTTTTACAAGCCAGACCTGTGTCCTTTGGTGGAGCTCTCACTATTTTTCTAAAACATTTACCGTGAGGAAATGCAGAGCTGGGGTGAATGACCTGCTGTCTCCTCCTAGGGCTCACTCAGGGGGTAAGGGTATGGGAAGTGTTTCCACTGCATAGACCACAGTGCAATTTATATTGCTCTCATTTTCTGCTGGCAAAAGGGCGAAAGTTATTTTCACCTCTCTGGAGTGCTTTGGCTTTGCTGGGTTTGGCATGTTAAATTTGCAGTGGTTGTTGTGAAGTCTATCTCAAGCCTACTTCAGGTGACTCTGTCCTTTCTGGGTTGTGTCTTACAGCTGCTGAGGCCTGTCTATCAAGACAACAACGCTACTGTTGGTAAGTTGCCGATGTGCTGAAAATGCTGCTCAGAGCACCTAGCAGAGCTGAACACGGTCTTTCTAGCACTAGCAAATCCTTGTCCTTAGCCCTGCAATGCTGCAATGGAGTCCCTCACGTTCTGAGGACAGTGGCAGAAGCCTGGGGCTTTTGGGTGGTATAATTTTCCTACTCTCTGCGTCCAATAAAAGCAAGAGCCCTACCCCTCAGCCCAGAGGAGAGCCCAACTGCTAATGTCACTGGATGAGCCTCGTGGTGAGAAGGTCTCTGTGGGAGCTCACAGTGTGGCTGAAGAAGGGAGGCTGGTGCAGGCCGGGACTTTCCATCTGGGGCTTGATGAAAGCATGAAGTGTGGAAGTGCTAAGTGTTGTTATTGTGGTTCCTCAGATGCGTCTTGGGCCTTGCTGTGATATGTTTGGCTTCTTGTGCATGATGCCTTCCTGAGGGTGCTAATGCCATGGCCCCTGCTTTGAGTTTTGTTTTATTTTATTACTAAGGGAGTAGGGATGGCCGTGACTCAGATTTGTACAGGCACTAGTGCAGGTTGAAGTGCCAGGTTTGGGGAATACTCATGTCCTGGGCTCCTACAAGGGCTCTGGCAGTCTCTGGACCAGCTCTCGTCAAAACCTCTTTGAAGCATAAACTCATTTTCTGCAACAGGTATACTTGGTCTTCCTGGAGAACCAGGTGTGGATGGGCTCGCAGGAAGGTGAGGTGTGCAGCGGGGCAGTGCATGAATCCTGGGCTGCCAGAGGGGGAGCAGAGACTAACGCAAGGCCCCCCAAACTAGATACCAACAGACGACTGCCATTTCCAGTGGGAAACTGGGAACAGAAACAACCCAACAACATTGAGACCTGGAGATGCTCCCCAGGGTGTTCACTGGGTGCTGTTGAACTTGCAGTTTCAGTTTTCAGCATGCCCAGCTCCACGCAGAACTGCCTCTTACCACTTTGTTCATTCAGGAGCTTTGGAAGGCCACGCTCGCACCCTGGTCTGTTAGGATGCCCCTTGGATGAGCTGTGTGTCTGTAGCAGACCTGACCTCCTAGACATGGTCTTGCAGGAGCGTCTAACTTGGCAGTCCCTCCCTGGTGCAGGCACAGCTATCAGCACAATTCCCAGCTAAAAAAAAAATTGTGCCGCCTGTAAAGGCGGGGCAGTGTCCATGGAAGGCAAAGTGTGGGGCTGGCACAGCTGTGGTGGGGATGCCGGCGAGCAGGAGGGAGCAGTGTGGGTCTGAAGCCCCTGTGCTTTGGATGGTCCCAGCCCTGGAGTTCTGTGGTCAGAAGTATTTTCTGCAGCTCAGCTGCAGGGGATGTTTTATACCGTGGATAACTGCAACTCTTTCCTGCTCTTTGCGGATCCTGTGAAAAGATAAACTGGACCGTGGGGACTTGTTTTTACAGCAGGGTGGAATTTGAAAGACTCAGGCTTCTTTCCATAACAATTTTTAGTGATTGTTTTCAGTTTATTTAATGTTAAGTCTTCAGAGGGCAGAATGCACTTGTTAACCAGAGCAGCGATTAAGTGTGGTGGTGCGGAGCTGGCCACCGGTCACACAGTGACAGGAGCTGATGCTTCAGGCAGGCTGGATGCGTTTCTGTGCCAGTGTGCAGAAAACAGGACTTGTGCAGGTGATGAATTCCTCTGATAAATTCCTCTGATAAAATGAGGTGATTTAGGGATAAGAGGAAAAGCAGATCCTGAACAGCACAGACAGATTGTATCTGTCCTGTGTTGAACTGTCTCTCATGCTTTGATTTTTATCTGGCAGTGCAACCATGAAAAAGGAAAAAGAGAAAATGTCAGGATTATTGCACTTAGAGGTGGAAACAACCTTTTAGGTCACGAGGGCCACCCCCTGCAAAGGCAGGCTGTTAAAGCAAGCAGTAAACATCAGGTCTGGATTTCCAGCAGCATGGTCTGGCTCTGCTGGCGTTTATCTGAAAGTAAATGCGCTATTTCCTAATACTTAATGGAATATGTAATGTTGGGTAGGTTCGGATATTTGCTTTGGACAAGACCTTATCTGCTCTGAGCCATGTTCAGAAGTGTTTTGGCTCGTTTCTGCTTGGGAAGGTTATGGGTATCCGTTACAGCGCAAAGGCAGAAGCCACTGCGCTGAAAGCTGCTGTGGTGGCCATGGGGCTGGGCGGCTGGGGGGGCTCTGCTGGGACACCCCTCTAGCAGGGGGCTGCAGGAGGGTTGGCTCATACATGTTCCTGAGATTGCTGTGGGGCAGGACCCTGGGCTGATGCTCAGTTTCTCACCTGGATATGTTAAAATCCAAGTGGAGAGGTCTGCCGGCTGGACCCTCTGGTTTGGTTCATCAGCTTCAGGGGGGAGGGAGAAAATACTTCAGTCTTTCAGTGGGGCTTCTTTTGAAGGAGGAGTTGTTGGTTAGAGACGTACGCGGTTCCCGTTAGAGCTGTTGCCTGCAAGTGCTGAGACAGAGCACAGGCTGCTGGTGTGCAGCGGGGCACAGCCTGGGGTTCAGGGCTCTTGGGAGCATGAGCCTGTCTTGCCTTCTGTCCCCAGCGTGGTACGTCCTGCTGCCGCAATGGGAGTCTGCGTGTGGCAGGAGAGATGTGCGCTGTGGGCCTGGGGACGTCAAGGGTGGCCAAAACCGGGGTCATTGGGGAACACATGGAGAACCCTTGGGCCTAATGGATTAATGTCATTAAAGGGAAATATTTCAGAGCTGTTCCCCACTTGGCAGCCGTGACCTCCCAGCACTCCTGAGAGCAGAGCAGCCCAGCGGGCAGCAGCTCCTCTCTGGTTCTGGTCCCGTGTGTTGTTTTCATCCTGGCTCCAGGTGATGATGGGTCTGGGGAGGAGGATGCGTAAAGCTGTCCTTAGCTCTGCTGCCTCCAGTGTATCACCCACCAAACCATCTCGCTGCTGACGGTGTGCAGGCCCTGGCTCCCAGCGCTCTGATGTTCTCACCTCTGTGCGCTGGTGCTGAGAAAATGGCAGTTTCTATCCAGGCAGAGCATCCTCAGAGCACCCCACGTCCTGCGCCTGCGCTCGCGAGACAGAATGCTGATGGGAGCTTGCTGGATGTATTCAAAGACAGTCCTCTGGGCTGGGAGGAAAGGGCTGAGAGATCCTCTATAGCAGCAATTGCCCAGCATTAGGGGAAGGAAGGACTCACCCACGCAGCAGCTAGCGGGGAACAATGATAATTGTTAATAATTTATCAATAATGCTTTTAATCACAAGATTATCAATTACATTAGAGATTCCGGGACTGGTTTGACATATCACCTATGTCCCCTGGCCTCTAGTAATGCGGACTGGCAGGTGTGGAGCGGCCGCGGTAGCTGGTGTTGGCTTGTTGGGAAAAGTTATAGCTCTGCTCAACCAGCTGAGGTGAGAGGCTGCAAAGGAAAGCTTCTCTGTCATCGCTCCTTTGAACGAGGATAATGGCTTTCTGCAATGAAGAGAGACAGAGCAAAAAACCAGTCAGGCTGCTTGGACTTTTTCCAGCACTGAAATGTAATGCTGAAAAACAGTGGATGATGTGCCAGCCTCATGCAAAATTAGGTCATCCTTTATAAATACACCCCCATGTCTGGGTAACCATCACATCCCTGGGAGCGATTTGGAAAGGCACGGATTGATCCTGTGCGTATGAATGTTTTTATCACTTCTGTCCCTTTCTCTGACACTCCAATCTTAGTATCTTCTAACAACTGTGATTGACCTGCCACCCAGTGCCCCGTGATGTGAAATTCCTGCACTTTATTAACTCCCATGCCCAGAATCCAGAACTAGCGGGACTTGTGTGAATAAAAATGTCCCAAGGTTTAAATTGCCAGTGGTGGTTTGTTTGGGGTTTTTTTTTTTTTTTTTTTTTTCCTCCCACCCTGAGTTAGTCCCAGATGGTTTTCCCCTCCCTGGAGAGGGAAGGGTTCAGTGGTGCAGGCAGGTATTCCCCAATGGTGGGAACCTCCTTGGTGCTCCTGTGATTCAAGAATGACCATTTAAAGTTAAGTTTGGGGTTGTTCTGTATTTCTTATTTTAAATACTTTTAGTACTGCACAGGGAGGTGTGTATAATAGTACCACATCTCCAAAGTACCGTTCAGAAGGCAGCATACACCCAGAGACAGATATGCTGGCCTGCAGCTGAGCTTGCTGTGACTTCTTGGGTTTTCATTTGCACAAACATAGATGTGTTTGTGCTCCTGGTGTGATCCGGTTGAGTCCTTGGTTCAGCAAGTGAGTAGCTCTTCATTGAGCAGAAATGTCAAGGGACATCTCATTTTGCATTAGGAAAAATTAAGTCAGTGCTGTTATTTCATGAATCCCTGGGAAACTTTGATAGCAGAGTGACGAATGTCCCTGCAGCTTTCAGCTCCAGCTCTTCCCCTTAGGCTTTACGTGCCCTCCTCTGGGCTGTGAGAGCAGGAGCGGAGCCAGCAGCATGCAGCAGCTCTGCAGGACCTCTCTTCTGATTCTGTGTTTCTTTCTGCTTCCTCTGTCGGTGTAGGAAATGCATGTAAAGGGAAATCACACGTGGGGTCTGGGAGAAAATCCAGGCTGATGAAGACCGTGCAGACGATGAAGAGCTATGGGAACTACCAGAACTGTACCATAGTAAGGCCACACATCCCGCACTCCAGCTACGGCACGTATGTGACTCTGGCTCCCAAAGTGCTGGTGTTCCCCGTCTTCGTGCAGGTAAGAGAGGCTGGAAGCGAGGTGTGGGGGATCTAATGGAATCGATGCCCGGCGCAGCGGGTTGTATCAAGCTTGCTGCTGTAGGTCAGGTCCAGACTGCCATGCGCAGTGGTTGTATTTCCCAGCAGTACATACCAGGAGTGCACGGATCCCTGTCATCCTCAGCTCTCTCCTCTGCAGCTGGCTGTACTCAGCACAGTGCTGGGTACCCTCTCTGAGGGAATTGTGTCCCGCTGAAGAGATTCTTTGTTGGAGGTTTTTCCCTTTTCAGTTTTCAACTCTGGTCCTCAGTTGCTTGCTTGGGTCAGGAGAAATTTATCCTAGCTTCTGGGCTTCAGCAACCAACTTCACATACTTGAAGATCAATGTGGTTTCTTCCTGTGGGTTCTTTGTGCTCTTAATTATAGTGTGCAAAGGTTTTTTTAGTATAGCTGATGGCCAGCAGTAAAATCATGAACAAGGATCCAGAGCAGTAATGGCTTGACAGAGCCTCTTGACAGAGGATGTTCTCACTCCCCAGTTCCATAAATGATTTTCTCAAAATTTAGCCCTGAATTTGGTGGTAGTAGCTCTAACTACCTCTGCGCCTTCCATTTTGTCCTTCGTATGGCAAGAACCTCAGAAAACCTCTTCTGATCCAGTATATTTAAGCACATTACTGGTGCATACCTTCATCTGGTAGGAACACAGCTGGTGCTTCTGTCTCTTTACTCCCAAAACTTGTGTCTTGGATTGACTCTGGGGTGTTTCTGCCACTTCAGGAACTGGGTTTTATGCTTCGCCCCATCTCATACCACAGGACCCCTGTGCAGCTACCCTCTAGTGCTGGGCTGGTTTTGCAGGGTTTGTTCTGCAGTCAGGACAACTGAACCTGTCCTGTTCTCCTCCAGCCTTTAGCAGAGAAGATGCTGACTGGGGAGCTGCATGTGGTGCATGGCGTGAGAAAGGGCAGCCTCTTAAAGTCGCTTTACCTGACTGCGAGAGTAATCCATAAAATCATGCAGCAAATATTCTCGTCTGAGGGACGTGAGAACCTAACGTGCCACTGTTGTGGTTGTGTTTCCTGCTAAAAAGTGCCTGTAACCAAGCTTGCACGGTGCAGAACAGTTAACGTACAGAGGCAAGCGGCTGATTGTCTTTTTATAGATGGGCCTGACGTAGGTGTTAAGTGTAATGCTTTCTTTTTATTCTGTAGCTGGACCACAGACTTTCTGTCCTTTTGAGCACAGTGTGGGGTGGCTTCTCTCTGAGTTACAGCTTAAAGTGAAGACAAAGTGGGTTTGGTGGGCGGAAAGTTTTTCTGGCAAACCACACTTCCAGTGGAAGGTTTGACTGTTTGTTTCCTTTTCTTTTCTTTTTTTTTTCTTTCCTTTCAAATGTAGCCTCTAGATCTTTGCAACCCAGCCCGGACTCTGCTTCTGTCAGAGGAGCTGCTTCTTCATGAGAGCAGAAGCAGGACTATACAGGTAAGACTCTTTCTGTGCTGTCTGAGCTTTCTAAACATGCGCTTCCACAGTCTTATGTAGTAGATTGAGAAGGGAAATGTTTTATTGTGCAATATTTATATTAATAGGATACTTGAAAAAACTTCTAGTCAGTTTATCATGAGATAAACTAAATATCAAAACTCTTCTCTGCTAGAAATCAACTTTTTTCCTTGTCTTCCTTCATGCTCACAAAGAAGAAACCGTGCATGGCAAATGCATGCCAGTTACAGCCTGGCAGTGAGGCCTCTGGCACACTCAGAAAGAGGGAATTTAAGAATATTTTGTGCCAGGCTAGAGAACTAGACAGAAAACTTGTTACAGGGGTTTTCAGAAATTTAGTTCCTGAAACAGGTCACATGTCCAAATTCCTCTCTGTTTTCTTACTTTACCTTCTTCTCTGCAATGTTATCGGAGGGCTGTTAAAACTCTGGGGAAACAACTAAGCTTTGGCTACATGCTGAACCTGCGTATGTGACATTTCAACATCCAAACTGTCAGAGGTTGGAAGTGTTGATTACATTTGCTGCTGGCTTCACTTGCATCCAACTGTAAAGTCTGCAAAGCCCTGGAATTTGGGACAGAGGAAGCGGCAGCTGGGAGAGCCCACTCATGCATTGCTCACTAGTGCTGAAGGAAACTGTTGTTTCTTTTGGGGCATTTTCAGAGAATCTTGCCGCTGTACAGAATAATTTTCATTTAGCTGAAGTGAACAAAATGTTATGTTCCCAGAGCCATAGAGGAACTTCTACTTGACAAATCTTAAGTTTCTGGGTAACACCTTCTGGGTGGCCGACAGCAGAATCCCAGAGCCACATCATATCGCTGGCCTGTACAAAACAGAACAAGATTGTGTTATGTTAAGTGACTCCTCTCTCTTTCTGGTTTTATACATGTAATTCATCCTTTGAATTGAGTCACAATTTTTTTTCTTCTTTCTGCAAAGTACATGAAAAATTTCATGATCCATTAGGAAACTTGTCAGCGATCTGTAAATAAAACTCTTCCCCTGTCTGTCCTGCTGTTCTTTGCTGCTCAGGGTTTTCTGGGTACCTGCATGAATGAAAATCAGGTAAACGCACGGCTGTGTAGCACAGCTATGCTGCAATGGCTTGGAAATACGGTGACCAGCCTGAAGTCAGGATGCTTCTCGTGGGTTTGGTGTTGCTTGCTTTCAGGTCAGACTCGGAGGTCTGCAGTAGCAGCCAAATGTGCAATAATTATGACTAACTAATGCCATTTGCAGCCTGAGTGGAACACGTGTATGGGAGTGTTCATATTTAGATGATGGAGAGCCTCAGGAGGAGTGTGTTTGGAGGAGGTGGGCAGCTCTCTCTCCAAATGGCCACGTTAGCCATTTCAGAGACCCAGCTGTGGGCAGGACCAGAAGGGAGGGTGTTTCAGGGAGAGGACTCTGCTTATGATGCCCTAAGGATGAGCATGAGACTGGAAGAGGATTTCCCAGTTGGTGCTGTTGCCAGGAAAAGGCAGGATGCTGTATGCTGGGCAGGAACGCGAGACAGCGTTTGAGAATGATGGTGCCTTGAGGCCGTGATGTCTGTGTAAGTCTGGCAGAGGGGCAAGGCAAGAGGTTGTGAGTAAGCATAGTAAAAAAAATAGAAGCAGAGAATGGGAATGAGCATGTGGCAGTGTCTGCTTTGGAAGGTAGGAGTCTTTCCCTTGATGTGAACCCAGATGTGGTGCTGAGCCCCGTATTGCCGGGAGCTGGCAGTTGTAGGTAGCAACTCTAGGACATCAGCCATGTCCCTGGGGAAGGGTGCTCTCATGTCTTGCAGGGTGTCACGGGGTCACGGCAGGCTTTGAAGAGCTTCAAGGGATCGATGCAGGTCTCTGGAAAGCCAGAGACTCCCTGTCTCCAGCAGAGCGAGGGTGTCTGCTTTGGTCCTGACGGGCTGTGAGATGAGGGAAACCAAACTTCCGAAGCTGGCTAGACCTAAAACGGCCAAGACACAATTGGGTTTCCCCTGGTACAGAAGGGCTCCGACTTCTCTTTTTGCTGGACTTGAGCTGGCTCCCTCTCAGCCTTCTCCGCTGCCTGAACAGAGGCCGTCTTGTTTCTCATCTGTCCTTTCTTCATTGCTCCATGTGCTTTTCCATTGTCCCACTGCTCCTCCCACCCAGCCTCTCTCAAACTGGACTTGCTCCTGTGGTTTGCGGGACTCTTTTCTGTATGTTATTCTGCTTTGGCTAAGTGGCTCGAGAGAGGAGAGCCCATGTGCAGGGGCTGGAGATGGAGGTCCTATTTCCTCTCAAAACCAAAACCAAACAGAATCTTTCCGCGTCAGGCACTGCATCCTTGTCACTGAGCAAACTCTCTCCCATCTCCTGAAGGAGTCAACCTATGTCTCTGGAGGCCTGCCAGGATCTGTCCTTTCCCTGACCTTACCTCTGGGGCAATCCTTATTCAGGCCTTAATCACATCCTGTCTAGACTTTGTTGCAATTCCCACTTTTACGGTCTTCCGAAATCCCTCCAGCCTGTGGAGTGCCAGAGGAACCAGCGTGATGCAGGCAGTTGCGCACGAGGTGTTGAGCATGGGCTTTGTCCTCTTCGGTCCATCTCTAACGTACCTGGAGGCAACTTTCCAAAGCCCTGCAGTACCTTCACAGCGTGGGCCATGCTCACCCTCTTCTCAGCTCTCTTCTCTGCCATCCTGGCAGGGTCTGCAGATCAGGATGGTCCTCCTTTGAACTCTGAAAGCGCCCAGCTCTGCCAGGAGTCTGGAGGACATGGACCAGCATGCCTTCTCTTCTTATGCTCTTCTTATGCTCTTCTCTGCAGGTCAAGGGGCTTTCCTCTCTCCTCCAAGTGTTGTGCTGCAAGTTCCCGGCACTCCTGGCCTGGAATGGGGTTGGCAGGTCCCTGTTTCAGTGGGTGGCTGAGTTTTGGTCAACCCACTGTGCTGGCCAAACTCTACTCCCTGGCATGGATGTTTCAAGACCTTGTTTTCAGCCTTTCTTAGACACTTTCATTTGGGTGCAAATACCAGAAACTTTCACTTACCTTCTCCCTCCACCACACTAGTCCCACTTACTCTGTCCCTTCTTCTTCACTGCCTCTTAATATCCTTCTCTTCCTCATTTTTCACACCATTTCCCCATCTGCACAGCCACTGCTTATGCTAGTGTTCAAGGGTAGGTGTGTGACCCCTTGAGGTCTTCAGTGCCTGTTCTCCCCTGATGTTCATGTTAGAAGAATATTTGATTCAGTTAAGCCAAGGTGAGGTTCGAGGTTGACAGCTGAAGCCTTCACCATGGATCTCCTTTTGGCAAATGTGGTGGTGTATCTGTATCAAAGTCTAGCTGAGTGTATAAACTCCTTCCTGAGTGCATAAATTCCTCGCCAATAATCTTGGCAGAAAAAAATGTGTGAGGTGGTAAAAGAGGGTAAATGCACTGTGGGCTAAAAGACTGCTGAGAAGTCTTGGAGAACATGCATATAATGTGGATGTATGCAGAAGTAAAAATCCAGGAGCAGGTGATGCTTAGAGAGTTAGCATGGAAAGCAATGACTCAAAGGCTCTGGTGTGTCACTGAAGGGCGGTAAAGTTTCCCTGAGTGGGGAAGTTATGGCCATCAAGTGCCATGCCTGCGTATGTGCACCTACCTCAAAGCCTAGGCTGCTTCCTTTTTTAGACTGGGGCTCAGCTGACTGAGATGCTAATGTATGAAGCATTAATGTAACTGGATAACTCTTAATCATGTTCTCCTATTGCTCTGATCTCTCTGAAAACTAAGTGACTAACTGCCAGTGCAAAGCTGTAGTCAAGAAAACCACAACTTTGAAGCGTATGATCAGGGGAGCACTGAATAGAGGTGACTTGGTGATATCACTCTCTATGTGGGTCATTCTTGGTCTGATGAATCCAACAGTGATGTCTGCTTCGTAGAGGATACTGAGAATTTGGATGTTCCCACAAGAGGGCTACGAGGATAAATCAAGATCTGAAAAAATTTGGGGAAGATTAAGAAAGTTTCATCCATTTAGCTCAACTGAATGAATGGGGACACGTGAACTCTGCAGATACAACCCTCATACTGGTATCACTGAAGTTTTTCTTTGGGGTCGCACCCAATTCTTCTGGAGAAGAATCCAGCACTGGTAAAAAGAGAACGTGTGTGGCTCAGTCCTGAGGGTGGATACCTGTCTTAAGAGCTCCCCACCGAGGATTGTAGGATTTCTCTAGCCAGCTGCAGGCAGCATTCTCTGGCCAGCAATGCAGGGGATCATCATCATGTTCTCCTTTGGCATCTGAAAGCTCTATCATAAAAAACCTGCCTCTGCTTGGCTCTGCTCCCTCAGCTCCCTCTGTTTTGCTGGGCACAGCTAGAAGACTGTTGCTAGAGAGAGCGATGTCTGGGTGAGCATCCACTGGCTCAGGCTGCTCCTGCCGAGCACTGGGACAAGCGGGCAGGGTTTGCACTGATCCGTCGTGCCAGCGTCTCTGCTGATGCAACGTGCAAACTCCCCCCTGCCGTAGCCCAGGTGGCAGTGGCTCCCCATGCGTCGGTGAGCAGGGGAGGACGTGGTTAGGAGAGAGTTAACTGTTCTTGAGCTTGAATGTGAAGGTACTTTGGCTGCAAGGCTTAATTTCTGGGCACCTTTTCATAACGTTTTTGTTACCATATTTTGCATTACAAGGCGTGGTTATGGCTTCCTCCTTCCTGCAGCGGGGCTCTGTAGCAGTCCCAGTGTTGATCTCCTGTTCTCATCTTGGGGAAGCACACTAACCCACTGCTTTCCACCTTCCCTTCTGGTTTTCATTTTCTCTTGTTTTCTTTTAGGAAACACTTTAAATGTGCCCCTTCCTTCTGTAACAATGCTTTTCCAGTTACGTTCTGTAGCCAGTCAGGTCTATCAGCAGAAGGGGCTTTGCTGTTTGCCGTGTTGCAGAGCACACCTAGGTGAGCAGTGTCCGAGACATCACTGCCAGCCTCTATGAACAATCCTTTTGCCCCCTGTAAAATCTATTTACAGCCACCTAAAAGGCCTGTGTGACAACTGCCACGTGGCCTTGATCATTCTGGTAATAACACGGGTGCCTATCTCTGTCTTCAGAGGAGTCCTTACATCATGCCAGTTGTTTTACTTCTGATTTTTGGGGTAGGAAATTAGTTCTGGGAAATACACAAAGATAGTCTGACTCTCCAAGGAGCAACTCTGGTGGATTCTGTGTCTCACCTGGATGAATTCAGGCACTGCGTTTCTTTTTTGTTTGCTCTTTTGCTTTTATGAGCCTTGTGATTTTTCATGGTAGATACCAGATCTGTTTGCAAAGGGCTGTTAGAGACATGTTACAGCTTGTCCGCAGTGTGATGGCAGCCCTAGGCACAGCTCCAGATTACTCCCTCCAGCCCTCCCCTCTTATACCTGTTGGCTGCTGCCTTAGGGTCATCCATGATTTGAGTTTCCCGTGCTCAGCTCTTCAGGTGGGGTGAGTGCTCTCTCCCGCAGAGCCGGTCCTGCTCCCACCACTGCGAGCAGGGTCTGCTGGAGCCCTGGGCCTCGCGGCGCTGGGGTGCTCTTGGCAGGCTCTGGCTGTGTGGGTGGAAGGGACACCCTCACTTTCTTCCCCTAGCAGCTCAGAGGAGCAAAGGGACCTCTATAAACCCTTTTGTGTCGAGCTGCTCTAAAATCAAGTGTCTTCCTGGAAGCAGCATCTAATAGAGATGCTTTTACGTAACCCACGCTGGCTGCGCTTTTATCTTCTCTACATCCTGAATACAATCAGTCCCATCTTCCCATAAAAGCACAATGTTACCTGTAAATACTTTTTGTGCATTTTCTGTTTCTATGATTCCCTATTTAAATCTGCTTGGTTTTGAAGTGATGTTTTTTCCCTGCTGACCCTTCTAATCTTTTTTTCTACCCTTTAAACTTACATGTGTATTAGGTCATCTTTTTTTTTTTTTTTTTCCCTTCCATTTCCAGCATGACCACTTGCTGATCATGCTTTTATCTCCTTCACTTCGCTGAGTTGCTATTCTCGAAAACCCTGAACATCTCTTCTTTGAGGCTGAGGGACCTGGGATGGCACCAGACCTGTCCCAGAAAATACCTTTTGACACAAGATGGGCATGGGAGAAAGTTTATAGTGCAGTTTGTACTTCGTTATTCCTTATATTAATAGTAAGGTCAGGAGTAACAAAGAGGGTGAACATGGGCACTAGGCCAACAGCACGTTGAGAGCAGAGGAAGGGATTTTCCAAATATTACAGAGAAAAACAGACACTCCCTGGTTTCATTGTCAATTAAAGCTATGCCAGTAGCTTTGTGCTTGTTAAGAATCCCACAAAAATTAATTTGCACAGCAAGGAGAAATCTTGTGTCAAGGGCTTGATATTTGGTTTCAAAGCCCCAGATGCTGCTGCCCTGACGTGAGACTCACCACCACGTGATGAACTGTTTCCCAGCTTGTCCTCCTGATGTGTGTCTGTCAGCCGCCAGGCACGGAGACAAACTGTACTGGCAGTGCGTCCCCGTAAACAGTGACTTGGTCCCTGTCCAGAGCAAAGTCACCTTTCAAGGGGTGACTTGGTGGTAGCCATGGTACCAGCTCCCAGTGAGCCCCTGGGATGCTGGGTTGTCTTCTGCTTTTGTGAAAGGATTGCTAAAAGGCCACAAAACCTTCCTTGCTGTTGCTCGGTGTTGCAAAGCAGCTTTCCCTTTGCTGCGGGAGGTTTTTTGGGAGCATCCCAAGGAGCGGTTAAAAGCAGCCACGTGCTCATATGCTGCATCTTGTGCTGAGAGCAGTGCATGGTTTGGCAGTATGCAGAAGGTCCAGTATGCAAGATGCCCACTGGCATATTGCAGCCACTTCCTGGCATCTTAAGTTCTGTTGCATGCCCCCAACTTCTGACAGGCTCAAACCTGAGCTACTGGCATAGTGATTGCACCAAGCTCCTCACCCCTAGTAGGTTTCTGGGTCAATGGGGATCTCCATTACAGTGGAGAAACTAATTCTTCTTGTTTTAAAGATCACACTAATCTGTACTGATCAAATGAGGGACCTCAGGCAGGAGCCAGAAGCAGAATAAAATCTACCTCTTGAGTTGTGAGCACCTACCACTGCTCTGGAGTAGCTCCCAGCTTGTAGGACACTTGAATTGCTGCTCAAGCACAGAGCTGGGCAGATGCTCAGTTCAGTGTTTGCTTTCCACCCATCAGCGTGGTTTAAAGGTGTCAAGTTTGTTCCCTGCAACTGCTCTCATGGGTTCTGCTGTTGTAAAAGCCTGTGGTGGTTTTAGCCCAGCCAGCAGCTAAGCACCCAGGACAAAGCCAAACTGTTATTTTCTCAAAGGGAGCTAAATGGGGCACGCAAAGACTGAGAACAGTGCGAAGCTCCTTCGTGAGTGTGTTTGGGGAGATCACATTTGTTTTTAGGTTGCGACTTCTCCAGTGTGCTGGGATTAGTCAGCAGCTTATTCCCTCCACCTGCTCCTCTGATTTATAACTTCTGTAAATGGGAAGTAACACAAGAGAGCAGAGGGGGTGTGTTTGTGTAGTCTTAAACTTTCAGGCAGGTTTATTCCTCTTGTCACGGGACTCTACAGCCCTTGGTAGGTGGCTGCCAAGCAGGGGGAGCCTTGCCCAAAGCTTGCTGGGAGCACCCTGAAGGGTTTAGCAGCAACCAGCCCCTTAGGGAAGGGGTTCCTGGGCTGCCTGTGACGGCTGGTGCCTCTCCCAGGGTAGAGGACCTTTCCAGGATGCTGTCTCAGTGCCAGGAGATGAATTTCTTACAGCTTCTTCTTTGCTGCTGTTGTGCTTCCAGGTGACCCTCTTTGTCTACTCCGACCTGCTACTCTTCACCAAGGAGGATGAGCCTGGGCGCTGCAATGTGCTGAGGAACCCTCTCTACCTGCAGAGTGTCAAGCTCCAGGAAGGTGAGTGTCTGCAGCAGCAGTGGACACGTTTGGGGCATTTTCAGGGCTGCTAGCTATAAAGGTTTTTGGTCAGCAGCAGGATAGCACCCCACTATCCCATTGCTTCCAGTATGTAACAGTACCGTCCAACTGGTGCTGCCAGATCATCCTGCCTTGGGGTGCAGGGCCAGCATCGCCCTTCTCATCCCTGCATTAATCTGGTCCCTGGAACTCCATCTCCTGGGACACCTCAGGGGCACGCAGGTAGCACCACTTTCCAAGGCTTTTTGGGTGCGTCTTGGGGATTTTGGGCTGCCATTCCCCAGGGTCTTGCAGTGCTGGGCTGTTCCCCTTGCTGGTGTTACACTGCCTACAGCGGGGGCTTGCTGAGGCTGAGAAAGGGAAGTGAAGTCTTGAAGTTTCCCCCACGGTGCCTCGAGAGAGTTCAGAGGTTGTCTCCAAGTGAGTCTGGCTAAGCCCTACTGACCTTTACTTTGCTACTTCTCCCTTCGGCCACCCACGTTTTCCCCTGCGCTAGCATCCCTTCCCCATGCACATCCCCCGCCGAGGTCAGAGCAAACCCTGGCCTCGGGGGAGGCTGTGGACCGTGCCCTTACTCTCTTCACCTTGGCTGGGCTTTCATGTCCAGCTGAGGGCTCGGAGAGGGCTTCTAGGGCAGGGGGTGACTTGAAATCAGTTATTTTAAGTTGAAATGCTGAGGCTGTGTAAACGATGGCCTTTGGGGTCAAAAGAGGAACGAACAAATTGCTTTACCACATCCTTTTTGCTACAGTGGAGACACTCCTTGGCCCTGGGCCCAGTCCCACCTTGTTTCTTCTCTCAGGGCAGTCGCTTTTTGGGTACGGGCTTGTTTTGTGTACAGTCGCCTGACTGCGTCAGTGTGGGGCTGGTGCCCCAGCTCCTCCTCGAGCCCTGGCAGCGGGTGTTGCTGGACCGGGACCCACGTGGGAAATCATGATTAGGTATAAAGAACAACTTTCCTATGGTGAGATTGGTCAAAGATTAAGTTGCTCAGAGAGGCTGTGGGACCTCCTTCCCTGGAGGTATTCAGGACTTGACTGGGCACAGCCCTGAGCACCCTGGTCTGGATGCTTTGGGCAGGAGCTTGGACTAGGTACCACCAGAGGCACCTCTTCTGTCCCGAATTACTCTGTAACTGTGTGAGCCGATGTCTCTGTCTCTATGCAGTCCCATGGCCCTGACCAAAAGGGTTTAATCCAGACCTGGGCCGCTTCTCCAAAGGGATCATTTTCTGGATGAATTTTGCCACTTCCCATGGCTTTCCCCAGCCCAGCTGTAAGCTCTGTGGATGAGCTGCATCTCTGCACGTGCGCCACGTTGTTGTGAGCCTCAGTGCTGCGGATCTGCAGTCCTGTGCCAGACACCACAGGCTGCCTGTCAGTTGTTACTTCCCATTTCCAACAACATTTCTGCTCCCAGATTAATTCACTGACCTATTTCGTGGGGGCAGAAACACAGCGAGGGAGATGGTGCACCATCGCGTGAGCCATTTAAAAAAGCCATTGAAGCTTCGCTGGGGTTTGTTGAGTTTGTTCTCAGTGCTACTTATTTCTAAGAAATGGACAAAAGAAATTGTTCCTCATCGAAGTGCTTGTTGGTCAGCGTCCGCTCCTGGAGCGCGTGCCGCCCCGGCTGCTCTCAAAGGCTGTGCAATAACCCGGCTCTCGTTCGCCTCCTTGAAGGAATCTGCTTCCCTGGTGCTGGTCCCGGTTCCGTGCGTGACAGTCTGTTTGCAGCTCAGCACAGGACTGTGCCTCCTAACCTCAGGCAGAGCAGTTGGATTTCGTGAGCAGTTTTCTGCCACTTATTTCCTTGTTCCGTAATAACTTGGCTGGATCACATTTGGAATAGCTTAACAAGCCTCTCTGAAGGGGATGTTTGTCTCTGCAGTGCCGGACGACCCCCCGTACACCAGGAATCCAGCACAGTCAGTTTTCAGGCAGCTTACCATCCTGGTTTGGGCAGGGCCGCTTCAAAGGCGGGTGGAACGAGCAAAAAGATGTCAGTCCCTTTTGGCAGGGATTTTCTGTTGGTCTCCTAAATAACTGAATGGTGCATTAATAGGAACAGGCGTATTGCTGAGTATAACAATTGAGACATCTCCGGTACACTGAAGACCATTGTGATGTTTCCTGTTTCTGCCGCTCGCTGCCCTGTGCGAAAGCAAATCAGTATAATCTGCTTTACAATGCTCTGTCTTCCTGCTTTAGAAGCAGAGCATGGTTGATGAGCACCACACCGGCCAGTGTTTCCAGCGCGACAGGGCTGGCTTCCTCACTAGATACTGTGGGAATTTCCACGCGAAGGTCGCCGCCTCGCTGGGATCCTGGCCCCCCTGGGGGGGTGCGCTTGGCTTTGGGACAGAGAAGAGCGCTCCTGTTTCACAGCTGGAATGAGGACCCCCAGGCTGAGAGCCCCATCCCCCAGCCAGGATCCTGCAAGCGAGGACTTTTCCTGTGCTGCTTTGCTGTTCCCGACATCCCAACCCTCCATATCTTACAGCAAACAGCTCCAAGATAGTCAGAAGCTAAGAGTGTGATTTATTGGCCGTCTGCCCTGCTATGGCTTCTCCCTGCTGCCCCCAGGACGCTTGGAAGCACCTGGGGCTTGCACCCTGCCAAACCTCCCTGGGGACATGTCCCTTCTCGGGTGTCAGGTCTGAACGTGCACAACAGCCTTCCTCTGTCCCCGTGCACCCAGGGCCCCGCAGCACCCTGCCCTGTGAGCTCCTCTTTGGGTGCTGCATGCATTCCTGTCCTCGCTGAGCAGACGCGAGGGGCTGGGGAGCAGGGTACCTGCCCTTGCCACGGGCATTGCCACAGTCCCTGGGCTGTGCACGGAGGCTGTGGAAAGGAGCAGGACCATCTTCCCTCTTTTCCCATCTTTTTGACCCAATGCCCCACATGGACCACCCAAATCCTACAAGCAGTGGGTGTTTTCCTTGGGTTGCACAGGGAGGTGGGCAGAGCAGGGCGGCGCTGAAACGTGCTGCTGTGCCGGGAGCTGCATAAGTGCCTGCCCCATGCCGGATGAGGCTTGGCTGGAGAGGGGGACGTGTCCCCACAAAACTCACACCTTGCTCTTGTCTGTGCCTAGCGCACGCAGCAGCCCAGCCCTGGGGCAGGGATGGGTCAAGTTACTCTGAAAGACAAGCCAGTCCCCGTCACAACGCATCAGGAAGAAACTGAAATATCTTAAAGTGAGTTGTTTTTTTTTTCCCTCCTGCTTATTTCCTTTGTGTTTCACTAAATTTGGCTGAGGGTATGTGCCGTTCAGCTGTCAGAAAAGGTGCAGATGAAGCACCGTGTGGGGAACGGAGCTGTGTGGTTTAGCCTGGGGGGCTGGCTGTCACCTCCCTGGTGTGAGGTTGTGCCTCTCCCTTTGGCTTTCGTGGCCTCTGTGGTCCGCGGTACAGGAGGTGAGCAGGGCACGTCGTACGGCTCTGGGGCGCGGCAGGCTTCCGGCACGCCAGCCTGACCCTCCAGAGACTGGAAAAAGCTCCAGTGGAAGAAATCCTGGAAAACCTGGTTTGTGCTGAAATCTGCGCTTGGGTCTGCCCTTCCTGGCTCTGCCGTCGCTCTCCTGCCTCCCCTTGCGCCTTGCCGGGGATTGGCACCAGCTCAAACCCGGCTGCTGGGCTGGGCAGCCAGTCTCTTACCTCCCGTTTGCTTTCTCTCTAAAGGCAATTACTGGTAGAGAATGAGATTTAAGTGATTCCTTAGCCTAGGCTGGCTCCCTGCTTTGTGTGTCCCGTAGGCGCTGGGCTGCTTGGCCGTGTGTAGCAGTGAGTCTTGGAGGGACAGGGGACAGGAGCTGCTGGTGGTGGAGGTTGCCAATGCCAATATTCATAGCTCAGCAGAGAGGAATTTGGAAGGAAACTTAATTCTGATGGTTTTGGGTTTTGTTGGGCTCACCTGTTATTGCAGAAAGAATAGAGAGAGGCCCAAGAGAAGTGAGGTCATTCCCAGGGCCGTTACACTCCAGCATCACCTTTCTTTGCCGAGGGTGCGTGTGTCTGGAGGGTGACTTGTTCCTCAGATCAGCTGGGAAAGCCGGGTTAAAGCTCCTGAGGGAAGGTGGCTGGGACTTGGTCTTCTGCAATCTGCTTTCAAGGCAGCCTGGAGAGCTTTGATCATGGCACAGGGAGAGGAGCAGAGCACCCAGCTGTGAAGACAGGGCGTCTTTTGTGCTGCTGACTACTTGGGAAGCAGAAGCAGTAGAAGGGGATGGTGGACTCGTGGTGTGCCAGCAGCAGGTTCAGATCCTACCTCCAAACCCTCCCTCAAGGGGAGAAAAGCACTGGCTGAGGAGTTGCCATTGGAGACTTTGGCTGCACAGGGAAAATGTTCCTTGATGGTCCTACTGGGATTTATGGAAGAGGGTGCTGGGAGAGCTTGGGCAGAGGTGAGACACAGGCTCCTAGCCAGGTCTGCTCAGGGGGCTGGCATCACTCCCTTTCTGGAAGGGAAGATGTGGAGGGGCAGTGCTGGAGCCCTTTGGCTGGCAGCCCTGGGGCCAGGCTGCTTCCCTGACCCTTGCAGCACCCAGCATGGAGCAGAGCGAAGCTCACGGGAATGCAAAAGGGCTTCTCATCTGAGAGGTCTGCAGCAGCACTCCTGGTGGTGCTGGGCTCCAGCATCCTGGTGTGGCATGATGTCCCAGCGTCCCCGTAGCAATGTTCCAGCCCGTTTCCTGCAACGTGCACTAAAAGCGAAGCTGGCAGCTGAGGCACACCTGCAATCCCCCAAAGGGCAACTGGAAGGGGAACGTCCAGCAAACAGTTCCAGGCCATTCCAATTCTTCATGAGTTTCACGTGTCCTGTGGAGTGACTCAAGAGGCATCTGAGTCCCTCAATGGATCACAGCTCTTATCTTGACATTTGGGCTGCTGCCTGTGGCAGAAGAATTGCTTTCCTCTGGGGAACAGGGTGTTTCCACCGCTGTACAGAGCCTGTTCCCATCATTAGCATAGCTCAGGCTGTTGAAACGAAGCAGAGCTTGTGCTGACACTGCTTTGAATAGGATCTGCAGCCGTGCCCTGACTGCAGATCTGATCTCACGGCAGAGATAATGTCATTAAAAGGGTTATGAAAGCTGCAGCCCAGCGGTGCTGCACGCTACCAAGGGCAAAGCTGGTGCAGGGCACGCTGGTGTGAAGGAGCGAACCGGCTTCAGGAGATAGGATGTTCTGCTTCAGAGCTGAGGTGACCCTGTCCTGTGGCAGCTTCATGTTCTCCTGCGAGGCTGATGTATGCCAGGAGCAGGCTTCCCTTGGGGCTGGGAACGCTCTTGTCTCACCAGCAGGGATCAAAGACCAGGGCAGATCCTCAGGAAAGCCTTTTTGTTGGGGACGGGGAACACCAGTCCTGCAGAAACCAGCCTGGTGGAGCATAACGCATCCCTGGGACAGCTGGCAGCAAGATGAGGAGCTGAACTACGCTGTTCCGTGATTTAGCAAGATGGGGAACACAGCATTGGTCATTGCATTGCCTCCAGCACCATCTCCTTTTCCAAAACCATGGAAGTGGAGGTCCCTTGGCCAGGTCTCCTGAGCAGCACCATGCTGGTGGGAGCTTGGGGAGTTTACCCTTGGCCCGACAGAGCAGGATGAACTCTCCCCCCTGCCCCGTGTCAGCCACTTCCCATTGCCCTGGGATTTGGCTCCATCTCCTTGGAGAGGCACCAACCCCAACCACTAGCACTGATGGAGGCTGGGACAGACAGCACTAGACAGAGCTACCACCAACGAGCCTGGGGCAAGAAGCTGGGAATGAGCAAGGACGTAGGAACGGGAGCTGCTCTGGTTAGTCCTTCTGGGAGCAAAGCATCTGCAGAGGTAAGATAGGAGAGCCCCGACCCCGGTGCTCAGGATGGCTGCGTGGGCACTGCGGGGCTTCTGCAGCCCCTGGGAAGGAATCGGGCTGCACATACCACAGCAGGTTGGGCAGAAGAGCTTGCACGTGGCCTCTGAATGAAGCAAACCTTCTTCCAAAAGGACAAACCCAAAGGAGAATCCGTGATATCCCGGTGAGTCCATGCAAGAGGCCACAGAATGCAGCCTGCCCAGCACAGGGCCCCTGCAGATGCAGCACACATCTGGGGATCACAGCCTGGTACTGTAGGATGACAACAATAAATATTCATTAAATGCTGTCTCTTAGCCAATTCCTCTGCCAGTGGCTCTGCTTGCAGAAATGCAGTTGTAGCTTAATTTTGATCCTGTTTTCTTCTTTATAGGTTCAGAAGATCGGAAATTCTGCATTCTTTACCTTGCAGAGGTGAGTGGTGCTGTTTTCCAAGTTAACTTTCTAGTGAGAGCTGAACACATACTAACAACTGATCCTTCTGCTGGGGCAAGGAGCACTGAACGGGCTGATTTTAACTTCCTTTTTAATTAATTTGCCAGAGGTCTGGAAAGGAAATGTAATGGCTGTAGCCAGAATGTATTAGTAAGAAGCTGCTAAAAGCAATCTGTGACCAGGGAGGCTGGGCAGCACTGAGGCAGGTTTGCTTTTCCCCTTCCCCCTGTGCGCAGTAGGTGGATCTTCCTCACAGCATCTCACTTCTGCTTTATCTTGGGATCCTTTCGCCTGGGGGCAGATTTCCTTGCTGACTGTTTTGTCTTTATTTTATTAGGCATCTTGCTTTTCTTGTCTTCAAGCACCCAGGTTTGAAGCCCTCAAATAAAATAAGAAAGCTCAATCTAAAAGACATATAAGTGTAGCTCTAAAAACACGCGTGGCTGGTACTCGCCTAAATGCTCTAAACAGATTTGGAATCACTCAGACATTGGCGTAGTTACATTTGTGTTGTGAAGCAGCCAAGGAGACTGCAAAATTGGTTCACAGTGACTGGACCGACCTAATCATTGAATGCTGCGGCTTTTTTTTCCTTTGCAAGTGACTTTACTGTGTTCCTGGTTTCAAGGCCTTGTATTTTCAGAGGTGGAAATTTGCATCTGGGAAAGATCCCCAGGGCGCGGAGGAGAAAGGCAAACATTGCTCAGCAGCACTGCAAAATAATAAGCTATTGTGAAAGTTGGATGAAAACGTTCAGAATGAAAGTTGTTCACCTTGAGTGGCTGGGATTTGGGCCAAAGCACAACTTGCTGCATAACCATGGGCTGACGAGTTCTCTCTCACGTTTCCCTATCGTTCCTTCCTTGTCTCCTCTGTTTCTGCCTGGGGCGGTCGGGCAGGAGCTGCCTCTTGGGGGGTTTGCTCAGTGCGTGTCCCAGCATGACGTCAGGCTTGCGTGATGTCTCCCTACCCGGCTAATCCTGTGCTGTGACTCAGAAAGGCTGCGACGGGCGTTCGTCAGCGACATCCTGACAGCGGGATGAGGCACTCCTGCATTTTTTCATGCATTTGGAAAAATGTATTTGTAGCCTGACATTTAATTTAGAAGCTTTGGGCCCCTAAGTAGAAGTGGCTGAAAGAGAACTGGCTGGTTTCGTGAGATGCTGAGAGGAGAAGACTCGGCTTTATCAAGATGTAATGAAGTGCTTAGCTTTTTTCTGATGGGCTTAAATGGTTCTTACAGCTCTGAGATCCGTGGCATCTGTTGCAGTCGGAGTGCAGCAGTTGTATAGAAAATGTGAAACGTTTGCTTTCCTACATGCGTGCTCCCTCACAGAGGACAGTGGGCCTGGACAGGCTGTGACTGTGAGGTTCTGCAAACCCCTTCTCATTCCCCCTGTCCGCCTGAGGTATTTCGGAGCAGGTTGCAAGTGGAGCAGGAGGTTCCTGACCCACCTGCCATGTGCCCGTACCCCCAGAGTGGCTGCTCACACCCTGCGCTGTGCCAGCCCGTGGCTTTTAGGTGACATTGGGGCAGCCCCTGGCTCAAAGACGGCATCCTGCTGAGCCGGACGTTCCCTCCTGGACCCCACGGGATTGCTTTGAGGCTGGTGGTCTGCACTGCGCTGGGGATGTCAGGCTGACGTGAGATCTGCCTGTGGGTAGGTGGGGGGGTGATTCTCTAGTCGTGTGGTTTGGCTGAGCCTTTCCTGCAAGGAGGGGAGAAGGTGGCTTTTATGTGTCCACCATGAGTGAAGAGCACGGAAAGAAACAGCTGGTTTCAAGGTTAAGGGAACAGTGCACTTCCAGCTGTTACGTCTCACCAGACTCTCAGCAATGGGCAGTTTTGGTTCAAAAGGGGAAGCTGAGGCACAGAGAGGGGAACGTGCCTGTGAGTCAGCAGCGAGCCAGGGCAGGACGGTGCCCTCCTGACTTCCCCATGGCTGCTTTTCTGGGAAACGGTGACCTACAGTCCTGAGCGCCATGTGGAGAGGGTGACTGGGCTGCAAGGTTAAAGCCACCAGGCTGCGGGTGGTTAAAGCATGAGAGCAGAAACCTCTCACTTTTGCAGTGCAGGGGTTGTGTGGCTCAACAAACTGTCCTCAGTGGAGACAGACCTCAGGCTCTTCTTAAATGATGGGGTGCTGTCGTGGGAGCCAGCCTGGGAGTGTTTAAGCATCATCTTCCTGCAGGGAAGCTAAGAGAGTCACCTCCAGGTCATCCCTCTTTTCTTCTTTGCATTCACTTTTCAGGAGCAAAGCTTTAGTTACAGGTTGTGGGGGTGTCACCAGGAGATTTTAAGTCTTGGCAGCCCATGGGAGGGAGGGGACGGTCCCCCTCAATAGTCTGGCTGCACACAGAGGCATTGCAGGGGGCTTGGGTGCCTTGCTGGGCTGGTGGGAGCATCAGTGTTTGATGTTAAGGTTATTTCTGCAGTCGGGTGGATTCAAGGCTTGCTCTGCTGTCAGGGGAAAGCTGGGATTTGGGCCCAGTGAAGCAGCACTCTCATGTTGCAGCAGCATGTGGGGCTGGGGTGTGGGGGTCTCCAGGCCAGCCCTGCGTGGCTCTCCCCGTTGCCTGATGGACGTGGTGTCCACTGGGTGCCGTGTTCCTGGCTACGTGACCTCTTTTTGTCCCGGTGCAAGGCTCAGCCTCCTTCCCGACTGTGGGAACGAGACGGTTTCCCTCTGCAAGGATGGCTTCCCACGAAGAGGGGCCGTGCTTAGGCTGCTGGGCGTCAGGGTGGAAGGAGGCTCAGGAGGGCATCTCTGGAGGGTGCTGGCCCTGGCCCGCTCCCAGCACCCTCGGAGTCCCAGCCATGTGGTGCAGCGGTGCCCTGCGCCTGGGTCCTGCTGGCAGACACGTCTGTCCTGCTGCCCACCCCTGCGACTGCTTGTGGCAGCTAGAAGGCTTTGCATAAGGATGCATAGGGAAAGGATGCTTGTGCGGACACGGCTTTTTTGTCCTGTGTCACCTTGAGGGGTCTCTCCCCCTCCTGATCTGCTCCTGTCCTGCTCTTTGCAGCAGGACTCCATGCCTGGGTTTGCCAGCAGTGCTTTACCCTGCTGGGAGCCTTTTGCTGGCTCAGCTCTGCTGGCTGGTCCTCTCCAGAGTGGAGGCGATAGGTCCAGGGGGTTTGGTGGTCGTGATTATCTGAGCTCTTCTGTTGACACGATCTGGGCAGACGCCTCCATCTCACCACCATGACGGGGTCTGGGAGGTTGGTAGAAGCTCTTGTGCTGCTGTTTCTTACCCATAAATCACTTGCAATGAGCGGTAATGTATTTAGTGCTGCTGTGAATTGAAAGGGAGCCCACGGGGCTGGGCTGACTTTGCGTTTGCTGCGGGAATAGCACTTTGCCGAGGCCTTGAGCTGCCGTCTCCTGCTCCTTCTCATCTGGAAACCTTGTGAGTAATGTTCTGACCCATAAGGTCACATTTTTGCATTTGGATCTGGCATGATCCAAAATAAAAGTATGTTTCAATGTCTGTGAGCTGCTTAATTTATTTTAAACAAGAAAGAAAAATTCCAGCCTTCAGGGAAACTGGAGTGTCATAAACAAGCTACTGCCAGTCATCCTGTCTAATCGTGTGTAAGTAAATCACTCCGCAGAGTTTAAATCCTGTGCATTACGGTTATTTACAGTCAGATGGCAAGCGGTAATCTTTATAGCCCGGTGTAGGTTACAGCAGAAGGGGTGTTTATTTTACAGGCTCTTCAGCGTGTGAATTGCAGTGCTTGGAAGTCCCGAGTGCAGGTGGCCCCGATCCTGGTGGGGCACGTGGTCTCCTGGAAGGGAAAGGCCAAATATACGTTGGTGTTGGAAAGAATGCAGAAACAGAGGGAGGTTCTCCACTCAGCTGTCCATTCTTGGTGGTTGTGTTCCTCGTGGCAGTCATGGGGTAGTTGCGATAGTCCCGGCACATAAGCCGGCCAGGATTTTGGAAGTGAAGGTGGTACCTCTTGATCTGATGAATACTGTGTACACCTGGCAGCTTGTCTAGCTTTTCTAATTGCCAATTGGTATATGAAAAAATACTACTAATGCATACAAACCTAGTCTAGCCTACATCTCGTTTCAGTATTTTAAATCCAAATTTAGCAGTTTAAAGTCTGCTGAACAGACCCTGCTTGTGAAAGCTTTGGGCCGATTCAGTGTGGACCCCGGAGAGTTTGGAGTGTGGGAGTTTGGCCTCATTTACCCCCTGCCTGCACACCATTCCCTGCATGGCACACACACCTCGTGTGATGGCACATGTAAAACCTGTCAGAAGAAAACACTTACTGCCTGGTGGGAATCTGCAGTCTCTCGGGGAGCCGGTCCAGAGACGTGAATGTGGTCCAGGACTGTATTCACACCCTTCCCCGTTCTGGAAATATCCTGCTGATAGGAAACTGCAGATCAGTGTTTTACTGCATTGTTAGAAGTTTTTGATTTGAACCCAGCACGTTCAGACCAAATTGACTTAATATCAAATAGCTCAATAAGTTTTTCATTTGAAAAGCACTCGCAAAATTGATCGTTTTCTCTGGAAGTTTTCTTCTGCAGACACTGGAATTTCTCTTGGGAAACTGCCCCAACAGAAAATCTTTCCAGTAGCAACTTCTTGGCCTGCCGCGATGAGCACGCTTACAGACCTGAGCAAATTAATGCTGCGGGTCTGTGCTTGATCTTGTTCTGCCTTGGAGATGTGCATCCCAGCTCTACACGGGAAATCCGCTAGACAAGTGTCACAGAAATGACGCTGTCACCCCCCGCCCCCCACCCCGTGCCCTGGCTCTCTGCGGACACATCCCTGCACCCGCGGGGACCCCAGGGGCACGTTTGCACTGTGGAGCTGTGTCCCAGCTGCTGGCAAGGGACAAATGCTTCGAACAAATGCTTTTTAAATTGGACCACAGCTGTGGTGAGGGGCAATATTGTAGCTTGTGTAACTGTGCTTAACTCCATAGTCTTCACTGGAGATGTCTCAGCTTG